AGGAAACGTTTTTATGTGTAAAAAAGAACAAGTGATACAAAAGTAAGAATAATAATTTTACTTTCTTAGAGGCAACAATAGTTTTCGTTTCAAATATGACTTACTTATTGTTTTGTGCACTATTCAATACGTGTTACGTAAGTTACTGAGAAGCATGTAATGTAAATTACCAATGAGTCTATTTCTCTTGAAAATTCGCATATAAACTGAATAAGATGTATCCAGTTACAATACTAAAGTTTAAATAAATAAACACTGCCGTAAGATATTAATTTTAAGGAAAATCTTTGCATTACTTATTTAATTGGGTGTTGGCATTCATATGTTTTCAAAATCGGAAGAGATCTCTCGACAAGCACCAGGAATAAAGGATGTAGTTATAATTAGAGATGCTAATGGTGGCAAAAAGAAAGTACAAGCACAGCTTCGTCATTCAGTTTGAGAAATGCACCAAATGTTTATAGAAGAAAATCCAGACTGCAAAATTGGAAAAACTAAATTACTTGAGCTCCGTTCAAAGTATGTATTGTTTAGTAGCAAATTTCCAAGAAATGTTTGTCTTTGTAAGTATCACGAAAACTTGGGATTGATTACTGAAACCTTCAGCAAATTCCATAATGTTCTATCTTTTGAAATTCTATAGAAAATTATTTTTAGGTTTAAAAAAAAAAACAGATGAGTGCTGGTCAGGAGAATATGAAACTTGTTCTCGTCAACTTGAAGATTCACTAAACAAAATAACCCAAAAAGAAAACTTAAATGGTTAGAATTGAAAAATGATAGAAGAAGGAAATTCAAACACATAAAGAACCTGAAGCCACAGTTTCGAAACTATGTTAAAACCAGTGTGAACAAGCGCTTGCTTACAGAAGGCAAGTCAAAGCTGTGACATTACCATCATTCGATAAGGACACTGCAATTATTCAAGTAGATTTAGCAGAAAATTATTCACGTGAATACCAAGACGAGGTGCAAAGCGCACACTGAACGAGTCAAGTGTGCAAATCAATGGTTTCTGAATTTACTTCATGTAGACTTTTTCTCCCTTGTACTACACTGTTTAAATATCTTAATTTGCATTTGTACATTATTGTAATAAAAGTTTGATACAAAGTGAATTTCGTAACGCAAGTTACCCATTTAAAAAATTATATTTAATTTAACTTTTGAAGTAAAATCTTAAATCTAGGCGTAAGAAATATTTAGATCTGTCTGAAAAATGATACATATAATCTTAATCAAATTTTGCCTTTAAGCATATTGCAAATTTATGCCATTCCTTTTTCAGTAACGTAAGTTACCACACAAATTTTAGTTTTTTAGACTGTTTAAATTAGAAAATATTAATTATTTTAATTAGGTTCCTTTTGGTTTTGATTGTAATTTTAAGAAATCACTTTATTTTAATATGTGCATTAGTATTATTTGTTTGCTTCTAAGTTTTCAGTGCAATAAAGTTTATGTGAATGTAACGTAAGTTACCGTGGAATAGCCCAGCCTTATATCTTTTAGAATTTTCTCTTATCCTCTTTTCTAACATAAACATGACCATTTTTGAATTCTTACAAAAAAGATATTCTTTGAATGGTTTAAATAATGGTGAAAAAACCAAGCTTGGTTTAAACTGTCATTTATTACTAAAACCCCATGATCACCACTAATGGAATGCATAAAATGTTATGAAACATATGAATAAAAAAAATTTTTTTTGAGCACTTAAACTATTTTTAAGTTGTGTATTACGAAAAAGAATTTTAGATTTATGCACAAAGAGGAAGGAGGTCCGAATTATTTAAGCTTTTGCTAGGGTATTCTATGGAACTTTTACACAGATTTTACTCAAGTACTAGATTTTGACAGTTAGTACAACACAGTTTAAAAGAAGGAACGAATATCATTTAAAAACTTTTTGTCATAATGGAACTAAATAAGTTGCGTAAAATTTGATTGGCCCAATAAACTTGTTTCAAAGACAAAAAATTTGGGTAATAAATTCATTAAAAAAAAAAAAAAAAAAAAAAAAAAAAAAAAAAAAAAAAAAAAAAAAAAAAAAAAAANAACAAAAAAAAAAGAAAAAAAGAAGAAAAAAAAAGACACAAATTTTAAGGCATACCTTCTAAATTGAGGCTTATCTTGGGGTGATTCATGCAAATCTTTCAGTAAAACAGAAAATATTAATTAATGTAATTTTAAAGTTTGCTTCTACTAATTGATCAACATATTTTAAAATGGTATATCAAACCATTTTAATTAGTGCATAAAAATATTGAAAAACAAACTTTTATTATTGAAAATAAGCTCTATGTCTTTAATTTTGAGCATTAAATCTATGAATAACTAAGCTAAAAGTAGAACTAGAGCATGGGTTTTACTCAATTTCAAAAACCTTGTCTCTTAACCCCATAGTTGCAAAGAAATAAAAGAGGTTTTTAAAATACATAACAGAAGTTTTCTTGAAAAAAAAAAAAAGATATAAAATTCTGAATGGAATGCAGTCAGTGTAGATACATCTATGCAATTTTCATACAAATGAAAAGCATCTCATAACTACAATTTATCTACAATGTTTATCTAGTTTATTAAAAATATAAAATGTGCATGTACTCCATACTAATATATTGCTTATAAAACTAAATATAAATTAGTTCAACAAAGGGTGAAGTTTGGCGCTATCAGTAACATGACTTTATTAGAAATCATTTAGAAAAGGAAATAAACTTTTACAATTGGAATCACTATGTTCATAATATAATCTTATCTAGTTAGAGCTGTGTGAAACATATCAAAAACTGTGAAGTAGAAATATATCGCAACTCCTTACCATACAAAAATTGCTATTTTAATTTGAAAAATTACATGATAATCAGCAATTGTTTAGATCATTATTTTTCATTTGATAAGAATTTTGCATTTTATAGCATAAATAATTGCAACATTATTTTTTAAAATTTAGATTTTGCTTGTTCCAAAAAAAAAAAAAAAAAAAAAAAATGGATCACTTTTTAAGTGATTGTTCTTGTTTGCTATATCTTTTTTTTTTTTTCTTTCTTTTTGCTTAATTACAGATTGCTGCAAATGCTTTATGTTTCACAAAACAAAAACAAAAAATTGCTTGTAACGCAGCTTCTGAATCAGCGGTGCTCCAGTTGGGGAAAGGTTTTATATAGTCTTGTAGTAATAGCAAAACTGACACAAACAGATAGCTGATTAATTTAGTCGTTAGCCCATCTTCAAACATCTTTTGAGAAATCCTATTTTTTATTCTTTCCAGCACAGAATGCAAATTTTGAATATATTCTCTTCCAGTTTCGCTGTGTTTTAATGCCTATATGTACTAATAATCGTCAATAGAAAAGCAGCCACCTTTGTAGCAACTAATTAAAGAAGAAGTCGATTTTAAAATCTATCTGAATACAAATTGCGATCTTGGATTTTAAAATCGCGTGAATATGAATCACAATAATGGATTTTGAAATCACTTGAATATGAAACTCAATATTCGATTTTGAAAATGAGAAAATACAAACTGCGATATAGAATTTTTAAATCGTGTCAATACAAATCATGATTCATAATTTTTAGATTGCGTAAATATGATTCGTGATGCGTAATCTTTAGATTGCGTAAACATGAATCACGATGCATAATTTTTAGATAGCATGAATGGAAATCCCAATGCCTTATTTTTAAATCACGTATAAATACGAAAATCAATATTATAACCGCATGAACAAATCACTACATTGGACTTTAAACACGTGTGAATACGAATCACTACATAGATATTCAAAAACGCGTGAATACGAATCTCGATGTTGGATTTTTAAAACTCATAAATAATAATCGCAATGTAGGACATTCAAATCGCAACTTTCAAATCACATAAATATGAAAAGCAATGTTCGATATTAAAATCAGGTGAATAGGAATTGAGATATAAACAGATTCCGGGCTTGAGACTTCCAAAAGGCTTGTTTGAAGCAGTGTCATTTGAATTACGAAAATACGAGCTATCTGGTGAGTGGGTAAAAATGCGGAAAATCTTATCCTCTGCGAATAAAAGCTGAAAAAATAGCTAAAAATGCAGAAGGGTTGGTAGCTATGTAGTTAGAATTTTCTGTTTTGAAAATCTGAAATAAATATAATTATTTAATTTCAACAGCTGAATTCTCTGAAAAAGCTGAATATTTATTTTTAAAAAAAGTTAAACTGTAAGAGAATCGGAGCTTTTGATAAAAAGGCTGCAATTCGAGAGATGAAAGTGAAAAAAGTGGAAAAATCTCATCCCTGGTGCGCAGATACTTTGATTTTATCTTACTATGATGTATATTATAGCTTGTTTTGAAAGTTGAATTTCTCTTTTTAATTGAAATTAATTGTTTTGTTGTCTATGTTTTGAAACCTAGGCAAAAAGATTGATGAGATGAAGAGTGTCACCCGAAAAAATATCTCAATTCCTTGGTGCAAATTCATGTGGACAGCAGTTCATATAATTAAACAACTGTTAATGAAAGTCTCACTTTTAATCAAGTTCAAAGGACAGACAGTCAATCAAAGTTTATCAAAGACAGTCATCACTTTTTGAGTGTTTAAACTTTTAACTAAAAACTAGAAAGTTTTGCTTGAATCTTAACTACTAAATAGAAATAAAAAAAAATCTATCATGTAGGCAAAAGAGTGACAACTTAGTGGTTAAATTAACTATCATTAAAGGTTGAAAATCAGTCTAAAAATAAATTTTAAAAGTCAGTACATTCGGTAAGGAAACACTAGAAGATCAATTTTTCACTTCAGTTTGGATAATTATAATTAGTAAATAAATCAGTTAAAGTCTGTATGAGTTTACCATATTGGTTATACTAAAAACTTTGAATTGCATTATAGAAATATATGCAAGCTAAGTTTTTTGATTCATTCTTCTACGCCTATACGCAAAGCAGAAGTAAAAGAAATCTTTCCTAAAAATAAAATAAAAATAATAAGTTGTTTTAATGGCCTACCTCGAAACTGTGCAACATCATCTTGAAATTCTGACTCATATTCATAATGATGATTAAAACCTTCGCCAACTGAGGCTGCTGATCTGTGAGTGTAATCAACAGTTTTAAAGCGCATAGGTGGTCCTGAAGGGCCATCACCTAAAAAAGGATCGTCAGAGAAACGTGGGCCACGTGGTCTGAAATTAGGTTCAAAGGGTGGACGAGGACCTCGCCCAGGTGGGATTCGGGCAGGAAACCTGAAATTACAAAAAATTCTCAAATTATATGCACACACATTTTAAATTGATACTTAATTGTTACATAAAAATAAATTAAACAAATAAGTAATTTGAGCTTTGCAATTGGTGATAAGTGATATGAGCTTTTTTTTCAATTGTATAAAAAAAACATCAAGATTTTTTATTTTTATTTATTTATTTTAAAGGGGAATATTCCTTGCAATAACGGTCTAATGAACAACTGAAACACACACAGATTAAGGAGATAACTTTTAACGTGCCGTAATAATATTAATATTAAATAATAATCATTTTTAAAAAAATCATGAATATTACTTAAAAAAATTCATTAGAATAAAAAAAAAGTAACAATTCGTAGAAATTATTGCCGAAAAAATTATCGAAATACCTCATATATTTACGATGGAATATGCACATGTATTAACTATTTTGCAACAAATCTGAAATTGCAATAAGAACCCCACTCACAGTCAATTTTATTTAAATGTACAATATGCAGGGATGAGATTAGCTAAAAGGCAAAAAAGCTGAATTTCCACGATAGTAAATTTTACGCAAGCGCAACCCTTTAATAATAATTCCAGACAGTTTAAGGTAATAAATAATATGTTGACATACAATTGTGTACTAATCTATTATTATATAAATGATTACATTGATACTTAACATTTAGTGAAAATAAAAATTACCAATTGAAAAAATAAAGCTGGAAATTATATTTTTCCTCAGTTCACATAAGAGACAATTATTACTTGAAAAACTACCTGGTTTAGCAAATTAAAACTACTGAGAATATACATTAATATTTCATTTCTTTTAATAAATACTGTTATGTGATTTATAGCAAATATATCAGTAATATTACTTTTTAAATTATATTGGAAAAAAAAACTTTAACAATGGACCGAATCATTATGTTCATATTATAGTCTAATCTAACTAGAGCCCTCTGAAACATATCAATAACAGTGAAGTAGAAATATATAGTAACTCCTTAACATACAAAAATTGCTATTTTAGTTTGAAAAATTACATGACAATCAGCAACTGTTTAGATAATTGTTTTTTATTTGATAAGAATTTTGCATTTTATAGCATAAATAACAGCAATTATAAATAAAATTTTGATGATGAGTTAATTAACTCTTTTTCCCCCAAAATTTTTTTTTAATTAAATCCCTTTTTAAGTGATTGCTTTTGTTTGCTATATCTTTTATGTTTGCTATATTTAGTCGTTAGTCCATCTTCAAACATCTTGTGACAAATCCTATTTTTTCTTCTTTGCAAGCACAGAATGTAAGTTTTGAATATATTCCCTTCCAGTTTCTCTGATGTTGTAACACTTACATATACTAATAATCGTCGTTAGAAAAACAGTCACCTTTATAGTAACTAATTTAAAAAAAAATTTACTTCTTACAAGAATCGCGATAGTTGATCTTAAAATTGCGTGAATATGAATAACAATTATGAATTTTGAAATCACATGAATATAAAACTAGATATACGATTTTGAAAATGAAAAAATACAAACTGGGATATAGAATTTTTAAAACGCGTAAATACAAATCACGATTCATAATTTTTAGATCGCGTAAATATAAATCACGATTCATAATTTTTAGATCGCGTAAATACGAATCATGATGCATAATTTTTAGATTGCATAAATAAGAATTATGAATTTTTAGAATGCTTGAATGCTAATCCCAATGCCTTATTTTAAAATCACGTATAAATATGAAAATCAATGTTTGATATTATAAACCGCATGAGCAAATCAAGACATTGAATTTTAAACTTGCGTCAATAAGAATAGCTACATAGGTTTTTAAAAAGGCGTAGATACAAATCACAATATAGGATTTTTAAATCTCGTAAATAAGAATCGTAACGTACAATATTCAATTCCCGTGAATAAGAATTGAAACACGCAAATATGAAAAGCTATGTTTGATATTAAAATCGTGTGAATAAAATCGAGATACTAGCAGATTCCAGACTTGGGACCTCTAAAAGACTTGTCAGAAGCAGCGTCGTTTGAACTACAAAAATTGGACCTATCTGGAGGGTGGGTAAAAAATTCGGAAAATCTTATCTGCTGCGAGTAAAAGGGGAGAAAATAGCTAAAATAAGTAAAAATGAGAAAGGATTGGTAGCTATGTAGTTAGAATTTTCTGTTTTTTTTTTTTAAAATCGGTGAATTTTCTGAAAAAGCGGAATACTTATTAAAGAAGTTAAATTTTTAGAAAAATCTGAATTTTTGATAAAAAAAAGCTGAAATTGAAGAGATAAAAGTGAAAAAAGCAGAAAAATCTCATCCCTGAATATGGAGTTCTTTATAAAATAAAAATATGAAAGAAAGAACATGATTTCTAGAGCAAACTATCTTTTAAATTTATTGAAATTTTAGCCAAGGATGAGACTGACCAAAAGGAAAAGAAGCTGAATTTCCACAAGAGAAAATTTTACATGTGTTGTGTGTAATAGTTTAATAATAAATTCCAGACCATTTAAGATAATAAATAAATATGTGTTGACATAAAATTTTGTAATAATTCTTTAATATATGACTAATTACATCGATATTTAACATTTAGTAAAAAGTAAAATAACCAATTGAAAAAATAAACAAGAATATTTTTCTTCAGTTCACATAAAGAAGACAATTATTACTTGAGAATCTGCCTAGTTTAGGAAATTAAAAGTACTGAGAACATACATTAACATTCCATTTCTTTTAATAAATACTGTCACATGATTTATAGTAAAAATATCAGCAACATATTTTAAACTATTTTGAAAAGAAATGAAACTTTTAGAATTGGAATCACAGTGTTCATATTATAATCTAATCTACCATCTGAAACTTATCAATAATTGTGAAGTTGAAACATATAGTAACTACGTAACATACAAAAATTGCTGTTTTAGTTTGAAAAATTACATGATAATTAGCAACTGTTTAGATATTTATTTTTCATTTTATAAGAATTTTGTATTTTATAGTATAAATAACAGCAACATTATTTTTGAAGTTTTGAATTCTGGTGCTGAGTTAATAACTCTTTTTCCAAAAAAAAAAATTAAATCACTTTTAAAGTGATTACTTTTGTTTGCTATATCTACAATAATTATTATTATTATTTTTGGAATTTCCGATTGCTGCAAATGCTTCATTTTTTACAAAACAAGCAACAAAAAAAACTTTAACAAGGTCAAATTGCTTGTAATGCACTTGTGACTGAGAGGTGTTTCAGTTCGGAAAGGTTTTATATATTCTTGTAGTAATAGCAAAACTGACACAAACAGATTGGTGATTAATTTAGTCGTTAGCCCATCTTCAAACATCTTTTGACAAATACTATTTTTTTTCTTACATGCCTGTGTCACATTCCTCTTTGCAAGTACAGAGCGCAAGTTTTGAATATATCCTCTTCCAGTTTCACTGATGTTGTAATAATGCCTTTATATACTAATTATCGTTAATAGAAAAACAGTTACCTCTATACTAACTAATCTCGGATTTTAAAATTCTTGAATATGAATTATGATAATGAATTTTGAAATTACATGAATATGAAACTCTATATTCGATTTTAAAAATGCAAACTGCGATTTATGCTCATAAATATGAATCACGATATAAATCGCATAAATATGAATCACGATATAAATCGCGTTGCCAGAAATCATCTCCAGAAGTTACTCAACTCCGTTGATCAAAAACCTGCAAAACAGACCCATTTACTAAGTAAGATACTTATTTGCAAAAAAAGTGTTTAAATGCCAGATTACTTTATTCTGAACAAAATTAAAAAAACTATTGCTCTATGACGAATATAAAGTGAGTTACAATCATTAATAGCCTTTGATGTATGAATCAAAATGGCGGCAAATGTGCCATTTTGGCAAAAATATGAAGTCTTATGACTTTTAAACCCCTAACTTATTTAAATATAATTAATATTTTTGAAAACAGCACAAAAAATTCAATAAGTGTACTAATTTTCATCAAAATCTGAGATGGTGGGTGCCATTTTTGTAAAATCCTGTATGATTTGACGTGGAATGGCCCAAGAACGAATCACAAGATTGGATTTTAAACTCACTTGAATAAGAATCCCTATGTAGGATTTTAAAAACGCGTAAATACAGGGATGAGAGTAGTCAGAGAGTAAAAAAGAGGAAATCCAAGAATATATATAGATATATATATATAAATATCGCACTTTTTTTGTCAAATTTTTGTTTAAACTTGTAATGCATGTGATTATAAATCCCGAATGAGGCTTTTAAATCACGTGAATATGAAACTCTACATCGAACTTAAAAAATGCGAAAATACAAATCATGATGCGTAATTTTTAGATCAAGATGCATAATTTTAAAATCGCGCGATATTACAACCGCAAAAACGAATCACGACATTGGATTTTAAGCTCGCGTAGCTACATAGGGTTTTAAAAGCTCGTAAATACAAATCGCGATATTGGTTTTTTAAATCTCGTAAATAAGAATCGCAATGTACAATATTTAAATGGCCTGAATAAGAATCGCAACGTTCAACTTTTAAATCAGGTAAATACGAAAATCGATGTTTGATAATAAAATCGCGATTTTAAAAATGCAAAAATACAAAACATGATATTAGATTCTTAAATCTCGTAAATACGAGTCATAATGTGCGATATTTAAAAAGCGTAAATAAGAATTGCAATGCACAACTTTTAAATCAGGTAAATACGAAAATCGATGATTGATATTAAAATTGCGTGTATAAAAATCGAGATATTTGCAGAGTCTGGACTTGGGATTTCTAAAAGGCTTGTTTGAATTGTTTTTTGTTTACACAATAAATAAAAATTTACAAGATTAATTGAATTAGCAAATAAATATTTTCACCCCAAATCCACCTCTATTTTTTTTTTCGCTTTTTTTGTTTGCTTTCTCTCCAGAATACAAGAAGCAGCGACGTCTAAATTACGAAAATACGAGCAATCCCGCCGACGGATAAAAAATACGGAAAATCTTATTTTCTGTGCGTGAAATCGGAGAAAATAGTCATAATTTTTCTGCTCTCATCTNAATTCGAGAGACAAAAGCGAAAAAAATCTCATCCCTGTATAAAGATCAACCAGTTTTATCCCAAGGAAATGATTTTTAGAGAAACTTCAGAGGGAGGAATGAGGACTTCAATAATTTCGCTCCGCGGAAAATTTAATTCCTCATAAAATATTTTAACTTGAGCAAAAAAAAAAAATTTCAGCGGAAATTAGCGGGAAAAATCTGAGAAAAAGCGGAAATCCGCGAATCCACGGAAGAATCTCATCCCTGTAAATAAAAAACGCATTATTGGATTTTTAAATCTCGTAAATTAAAATTGTAATGTACGATATTTAAGTCGCTTAAATCAAAATCTCAACACGCAACTTTTATAACAGGTAAATATGAAAATCTATGTTTGATATTAATATCGCGTGAATAAGAATAAAGATTTTAGCAGATTCCAGGCTTTGGACTTCTAAAAGTCTAGTTTGAAGCAGCAACTTCTAATTTTAATCTTCTGAGCGTAAAAGCAGAGAAAATGGGTAAAATAAGTAAAAATTCGGAAGGGTTGCAACTATTTGAATTTTCTATTTATCTTTGAAAATCGGAAATAAATATAATTATTTTATTTCAATTTTCATAAAAAGCGGAGTATTTATATTAAAAAAAGTTAAACTTTTAGAAAAAGGGAGTTTTCAATAAAATGGCTGAAATTTGAGAGATAAAAGAGAAAAAAGCAGAGAAATCTCATCCCTGATTTTAGCTGAAGCAAGTCATTATCGAATCCCCCCCTCCCTCTAATAAGAATAGAATAAGAATCAGGAGCATTTCTTTCCCCTTTGATGGGCGAGAAAAGCATCTTTTGAAACTAGTTCAACAGAGTAAAAAACATCATTCAAAAATTTCTGCAAAAAAAGAACTAAAATTTTTTACTTCATCATTTTTCATCATGAAGAAATAAAAATGGAAAAATCGCGATCATTTCTTTTCCCTTCTATGCGCGAGAAAGACATTGTTTGAATATAATTCTGGATGGAAAAAAAAAATTTCCAAAATTTCTGGAGAAAAGAAAAACAAATATTTACTTCATTATTCTCAAATGAGTAGAGAAAAATCATGAGCATTTTTTTCTCATTACGAATAAGGCATGAACATAATGCTGAGGAGAAAAAATCTTTTGAAAATTTCTGCAGAAAAGAAATTTACAATTTTTTACTTCCCGAAGAAAAATCTTTCTGCAAAAACTATCTAACGTTCTGCAACAATATTGCCGTAATTCTGGCACAGGATTATTAATACTATCTAGAGTTTAACTTGGGTTTCAACATTTCTGTAAAACATTAATCGAAATCAGAAGGGAAAACATGTGTATCTCAATCTTATCTTTAAGCGATTTTATTTCTCCGCCACTCTAGCTAAAAATGAATTGGCAAGCAGACACAGAACCTGACATAATAAAAAGTCAACCCTTCCTCACACCCCATTCAAAACGAATGAATTGAAAAACATTTGCATCTGAAATACTTCATCTTTAGTCATTAATCTGTTTACTTGGCTGTCACTATGTTCAAAGGGGGCAGATGATTTTTAAAAATATTAGAAAAAGTAGGAAATAATAGATGGAAAAATAGGAGGTCTGCAGTCTGTGTACAGTTCTATCATTTTAAGTACGACTCTAATTTAAAAAGGATCACAATAAAAAAATAAGAAAAAATTTTTCTTTCATAGAAAGATGAAATTTAAACTTAGGGTGACCCGGGTTAATTTACGATCACTCTGTTTCTGTGGTGAATAATGATCACTTAAGTTTTATTTAAAAAAAATTATTATTTTTTAAATTTTAAACATGGACAAGAATGCTTGTACATTTTACTAAATTATAACTACATTTACTTAATAATAGTTTTTTGTTTAATCTAACAAAATAAGTATTTTTTAAACAGCTTTCTGTATTTTCCATTTCAAAGATGGGTTTCAAAATGTGCTCATTTCTGCAAAGATCCCCCTCCTTCTCTTATATCTAAAATATAAATATTTTGAGTTACTTTTTTTCCCCTTTGATATAAAAATAGTGTAAGCTTTTGTTAAATTGTTTCACATCTACTGTAAATATTATAATTAATTATAGGAAACTATATCAAATGTTGCCCCCTACACATAGGGTAATTATTGATCATTGTAATTTTTTCTTATAAATAGTATAAAAAATAGCTAATAAATAGCTAATTGTCTTTTCTTAATTAACAGTTCATATTTATTAAGTGGAACAACTATAAAATATATTTTAACTGTAATCACAAAATTTGTTTTTAACTGTATACAAGACAAATGTGTTCTGATTTGCACCATTTCTGATTTGTCTTATCTTGCTTCTATCCTAATTTTATGTGTGTGCATTGTTAGAATAATTTTTAAGTTTATAAACTAGCCAAATATAAATATGGTGAGAAATTATAAGCCTAAAAATGATACTAAGTTTCAAGAAAGCTAAATTAGTGAATTTCTTTTAATGATTGAAAATGAAAATTTCAGTGTGAGAGCCGCTGTCAGAGCTGTTGACATACCTTACTTAATTCACACTCTCACTTAATGAAGTTAAAAAAATCCAGCAAAAGTAAGGAACTCTTTCTTATATTCCAGCAGAACATGAGAATGAGTTGGTTGCTTGCCTAAAATGTATGGCATGATGCAAAAATTTTTGGAAAATTTAAAGTGTTAATCTTTATTCTTGCTTTTAAATAAATCATTTTATTAGCTGCTTAAACATATCTCTTTGGTTTATTTGTTTGATCTTGATGTCTTATTTGTTAATTACCATCATATAACTATTTTTAAACAGCCCCTTTACAATAAAAACTGGTGATCAGTAATTATCCCAGAAGTGATAAAGAATTACCCCAGAAATGATCAAGAGAAGGGGTAATTCCTGATCATTAAAAATTTAAAATCTTTTAAATTCTAATTAGATTTTCAAACAAAAGAAGGTAGCATAGGACTCATCTCATATAGCCTCAAACTTCCAGTAAATATTAAAATTCTATCTTGAAATTTTTTTCACAAAATAGATGTTTGCATTTCTTGATCAGGAATTAACCCAGGTCACCCTAATAATAATTATTAATTAAGAATTTAATCAAATAACTCTGTAAGCAGTATAGAGATCTCTCTTTAAAAATAAATAGATGAAGAATGGAACTTACCTATCTTCAGGAGGTGGAAAATCTGGACCAAATGAGTCATCATCTCTTCCAGGGAAGAGGTGATCATTAAACCTATCAAATTCACCACGAGGAAATCTTCTACCTCTGGGTGGGAAACGACCACGGCCAGGTGGAAAACGATCTTCAAATGGACGGTCATCATAGGGTCTAAAAGAATCATCTTCATTAGGAGGAAAGCATTCTCTCATAAATCTTTCTTCTTTTATATCCCTTTGTGAAGGATATCGCTCATTTTCAGGTGGAAATTGATCGTCAAATGGAGGTCCAGGAGGGAATCCTTCATCAAAATCATCTGGAGGATAACGATGCAAAGGTGGCTCATCAGAAACATCTGGTGGGCCGTCAAGACTAGCATTTGGAGGAGCATCATGTAACAAAGGTTTATCTCGTGATGGTGGACCATCTCTTAATTTGAGAGGAGGGCCATCCCGTAAAGCTGGGGGACCGTCGGGCAGTAATGGTCCGTCACGAATTAATGGACCATCTCGAAACGGTGGTCCGTCCCGGAAAGGAGGTCCATCCCGGAAGGGTGGTCCGTCCCGGAAAGGTGGTCCGTCACGAAAACGAGGTCCATCACGAAATGGTGGCCTTTGCCCGCCACGGAATTGACTTTCATGGAATGGAGGTTCAGATTCATCACCATAAGGTGGTTCTTCAGGATACATGGGTCTCCGACCACCTCGAAACATTGCACCTTGGTCATTACACATTTGAAATCTTTCTGGAGGAAAATTTCGTCTCGAGCCATCTTCAGGAAAATCATCAGGAGGATAATTCCCTTGTCCATCATCGGGGAAATTGTACCCTTCCAAGTTTTGTCTAACAACAAAAAAAAAAATTTTTTTTAAAAATATTTTGAGAACAACAGCTTAAAACAAAATATACAAATTCAAAATTCTTATAAGAAAGTTAATCTTGGCTCAATAAAAAGAGAACATTTTCTTAAAACAGTTAAGATAATTAGTTTAGTTTATATTAACTTAATAAAAAAAAAATTTTTTTTTAGTTATTAGTTTTGTAAAGATATTTTCTTTCCAAAAAAAAAAAAAAACCCCAATCCTTATTGGCACTTTTTAAATCACTACTAACACACTTGCATCACTACTAACACACTTGCTTGTTACATTTAAGACTAGGGGGTCCAACATATTTTGCGACCATGTGGAATATTGCATAAATAACAATTCTCTGCATTTATCTAATTAAAATTTTTTATGGGTCTTTATGCAACTTCATATTCTTTATCAATTCTAAGAATACTTTTTGTCATTTATTATTTTAATACCCTAGGTAACTAAAAAATATCATGGTAACACGGTAGAGACCACTGCTAATGCATAAAAATAATGTTTTGTTAATAAATAAATATAATAATATAATTGTTAATAAATATAATTGTTAATAAATAAAAATAATGTTTTGTTAATAAATAAAAATAATGTCAAGTCCAAAAAGGCAGCTGCAGTATGTTTAGTGGGCAGGTGATTGTGGGCGTCCCGTATTCGCTGTCCAAAGAATAGTACTTGATCATTTACAGTGTTATTTACACAAATTGAACACATCAAAAAGTTATTACTCTAATGTGCATTCAAATTTTGCATGTCATAATAATAACTAATTTTTAAAAACTATAAGGAAATATATTGCCTCACCTACAATTGAAAAAAAAAAAAACTGAAAGATATATTTACGATGATATTAAGAGTATTGAAAAGATTACTGGAAATGCATAACTCAAAATTTCCATCTTGTGAAGTCACAATAAAAGTTAATTTAATCTAATTGTAGCCAAATGAAAGTGAGGCCAAGAATACTACATTGATTAAATAAATTTTCTGTTACAAATCAAAATTTGAAAGGAAATTGTTATTCATTAAAATAAGTTTTAAAAAAAAGTGGAACATCAAGAATAAAGCATTCAAAACGGTAAGATTTAACACAATGCTTTATAAGGAGAGTTAATTCAATAATTATTTTTGCTACATTAACTTTTAAGTAAGCTGTATCAACATTTTATCAAACAAGTTTAAATTTTTAATTAGAACTCTACGAATCTAATGAAAGCAAATTTATTATTTCTTTAAAAATGAATAAAAATTACTCTATTCAAATTTATTATATCGAAATGAAACCTACCCATCAGGACTATCGTGAAATTCTCTTGGACCACCTCTCATACCCCTGGGGCCATCATGAAAGTTACCTGGAGGCCCATTAAAATCTCCATGCATTCCTCTTAGGTAGCCTCCTTTAGGAAGATCTGGAGTTTCAAGAAGACCAGGAGGACCTCTCATTCCTCCTTCCATTTCAACTCCATCAGACTAAAAATATTATTTAAAAAGATTAGAGAAATAATAATTAAGAACAAATGCAAAGATTTACTGAAACTAAATTAGAAATGAACAGCAGATTAACCATTTTGGCACAGCAAATATTGTGGAACAATAAAAATTTTTTGCATAAGTTTATAAAAAATTTTTATGTTTGTAGCAGTATGTGAAAATACATTCGAGGATATAAAATTTAAAAGATGGGAAAAATGCATTGTTAAATATAAAGGATGTAACTGAAGCAAAACAAAGAATTATCTAAATAAATATGTAGCTGAAAAAATTTACTTAACGGATTTTTTGAAGAAAAAAAATCAGAAAAAGTCCTAAATGATATTTAAATTCACCTTTTAAATAATTAGACAAAAGAAATATGCCAATAATGTTTTTTTTTTTTTTTTAAAAAAAAAGAATTAAATATAAACCCAAATTTGAATATAACTTCATTTAAACATAACATTCAAACATAGCAGAAAAGCAAATTTTTATATCTTGAAACATTACTTTCAATGCAAACACTTATTACTAGAGCTTATTTAAAAGACAAGATTCATTATTTGAAAATGCCTTTCCTTACTTCAAATGTTTCTTTTTCTTCTATTAAAATGCACAAAAATTGCTTTAAAGTGTGCATTCCTTAACAGTCAAAATCAAAATACTGAAAGTTGGCTACACTGAAATTTGCTTCACTTTTCTCAACAGAAAATAAATCTTGGCCAATTATGATTAGAGAAATATTTATTTAGAAAACTTATTTAGAATGCTTATAATATTTTTATTTGAAAACTATATAAAAATAATAGGAATTGAAGAATTTGGAGAAATAAAAAAAATTCTCCAGTTAAATGTTTTTAAAATAAAAAATATAAAAAAGTGCCCCCCCCCAAAAAAAAACAAAGACCAATAATAATGAAATAAGCCGATCAGTGGCCGAGTGGTTGGCGCGTCTGACTGCAGAGCTGTTGGTTGCAAGTTCGAATCCCGCTCAGAGCATGGATGTCTCTTTCTCTGTGTTCTATGTCCTTTCTCCTTTGTGTGTGAATGTGACCCGCCCTATAAATGGGTTTGTGGTTGTGTGACGTGGGCGACGATGCAACACCACTGTGGCTTCGCCACAGATGCCCACTGGGTAACGAGAAGAGAGTAAGCAGTTCTGGCACTTTCTGAGGCAAATGGACAATAGTTCCAAGTACCCGCCATTAAAAAATAATGAAATAAAGGAAAAAAAGGCCTTTATCAACATCCTAGTCATGACCGTCACTAACATAAATAATGATCAATAAGATATTACAGCATCAATGCTGTGATCGTTCAGAATAGAAGGTCCGGTTTGCGGGATGTGTAGCCCCATTAGCTCTTTGGATAGAAAACATCCACTCAACAACAGTGATGAGATTAGCCAAAAGACAAAAAAGCTGAATTTCCACGATAGTAAATTTTACGCAAGCGTAACCCTTTAATAATAAATTCCAGACAGTTTAAGGTAATAAATAATGTGTTGACATACAATTGTGCACTAATCTATTATTATATGAATGATTACATTGCTACTTAACATTTAGTGAAAATAAAAATTACCAATTGAAAAAATAAAGCTGGAAATTATATTTTTTCTCAGTTCACATAAGAGACAATTATTACTAGAAAAACTACCTGGTTTAGCAAATTAAAACTACTGAGAATATACATTAATATTTCAATTCTTTTAATAAATACTGTTATGTAATTTATAGCAAATATATCAGTAATATTACTTTTTAAATTATATTGG